TTGTATTTCCCTATCACTGTACTTTTTAATTTTTTTTTTCTTCCCTCCCTAACTGCCTTGTTCTGCTTCATGTAATAGCCTGCTTCTCCTCAACAGTTTAGGGAAACTTAATGAATAATACCTATAGGCATGGCCTGCATTATGCTTCTGCATTCTCATTCCGGTTTGAGAACTGCTGTCCTGGCACAGCACCATTGGCTCCTACCTTTCTGCATGAGAAGCCCTCTGCAACCCCTTTAGGGACGTAATCATTTTCTCCTCCTCTACCCAGCAGTTTTTGGCCCCTAGACTATGGGACTTGGGAGAGACAAAGCATGGGAGAATTAAGTCTTCTTGCATTGTTCCAGCAGTAGCACCACTGACTTTGGGCTGGAAGTGTGCTTCTCTCACCTGCAAACACACTGCCTATTGCCCTCTACTCCAGTCTCCCTCTTTGACACAACTGTCTTCAAGGCTTAACAACAATTCTGAGTATGTTAAATATGTAAGTAATTAATCTAGTTTAAGGATTTATTTTCTTTGTATACAGATGAATGCTGAAAAACTATTTATGTGATAACTTGCTTATGCTACCAGCTGTTACACAAAAAGTTATGTCCAGCAAGATCTGCAATGGCCCTGTGGGTTTCAGGAGTAAGAATCCCACTTCTCCCCTTTGGCTTCTTAATTTCATGAGGCTGGTGCAGGGAAATACTAGAACTTGGAACCACATTAATAAGTTTTAAATGTTTCGGGAGTCTGTCTTCTTAGTATTACTATGCTGATTTCTAGAAATAGTTTAGCAGTTTCATCCTGTTAATTCAGTATTTTAAAATCTCCATTCTGCTTACTATCTTGTCTAACTTTGCCCTGCGATTTCAACATTAGCAGCTAGTAAGCTAATATCCAAATCCACAATGTTACACAACTTTGGTGAAACTTTTGTTACTGAGGCTTCTTGATATACAGAGGAACAAAATGTCAAAAAAACAATGATATATGCCAAAAAAATCTGTAAAAAGCTACGTTGGGGTGGTTGGCATACTTGATAATTGTGTAACTTTTCCTGTATCTTGCATTTAAGGAAAGTATAGATGCAAACTCTTGTTTAGACTCCACTTGATCCCAGTTATGGTTTTTGCCCAAAGTCAAGGCGTGAAATGAAAGTATTGTAATCTGATCACGTATGTCTCAGATGGCAGCAGCACTTGGTTCTTGATAGGGTAGTATCACTCTGGAAGTGAAGAGGGTCAGGTCTAATAGTACCAGCTGGCATATTGTCAATCGTTGGGCACATTGTCATCAGTATACAGTTACTCCTGTACACTAAAGACCAATAAAATTCATATGTATGACTAATTGCATAGCAATATTAGTATCTGTCTCGCATCTTGTACTGGAAGCCATTTTTCACACCATGCTGTCTAGAGAATCCATGAAACAGCCAGCAAGCATCTGAAACTGATTCTGGACCATCTGACAGATATTTCTTATCCATTGTGATATCCCTGTATTACATTGTTTTCCTCTTCATCTGTATATAAGAAAAGTATTCATAACTATGGAGATAAAGTGGGTCGCAATTTTTCACCTTGATTTATCACTTTAATTCTGTGGATAGGAAGAAAAATAGGAAAAAAGTGAATACTGATGAGGATGCACTCTAAAAAAAAAAATAACATAGCTTGTTTAAAAAAAAAAAAAGAAAGTAGGGAATAAGGATTGTTTGGGCATTATGAGCTGAAACCTCTGCTCTACTGCTAGGATCCCTCTATGCTAAAAGGAAAATACTATAGCAATATAGGTCGTAGGTAGAAGCAAAAGCTATATAGGGAGCAGGGACTGTGAAATAGTAATTGTGATTCGAATACTAGTCACTGAAGAGTATCAATGATCTAGAAAAGATGGAAATAAACCCAAGTGATAAATAGCAGGATGGTAGGGTGTTTGTTTTTAAATGGAATGGCAATTACTTAAAGCTCTGTATGTATGCTTGTGGGGGAGATGTCTGAGAGAGGAGGAGGTGGATGGGGAATCCTATTGTGGTAGAGTTGGTAGTGGCTTATCCCCAGCTTGTTTGGACATTTGCTGGCAGGGGAGGGAGGAATAGGATGTGTTAGGAGGCTATTGGGTATTATTAGAAAGACTTCAGAATTTCTTCTTCAGTCTTTTATCTTGGAAGAGATGAGCAAGCAGCAGAACCTAGTTATTGGAGTGGAAGTGATTTTTTTGAAAAATCCAAATTGCTGATTAAACAGCTGACATGGTTTATTCTAGTTGATTGCATGTAGAATTTATGCATTTTGAATGGAATTATCATTTGTCACTGTTATTTGAATAGAAGTATAAGTGAATTGTCCTGTAACAGGTTCAGGATTCTAAAAAGGGAAATGTTATTGTAAAGACGGCTAGCTTGTGAATTTTGCTAAAATAGAGAACTAAGGGATTTAAACCCTAGAGCTTCTATAAGCACAGACCATAGAAAGATTAATAGGACTGATCAGTGGAAAAAGAGCCGCATCTTGGAATATGGACCAGCATGTTATAACGTGAGAATTGTCCATGTCCAGCTGTGCTGGCCTGGCTGGGAGGAAGCTCACCTTGGGCGATGGTAAAGCAGCCTGGTAGTGGGAATGAGTGAAGATTAAATATACTCTAGTATCTGTGTCACATCAAGAGTGACTTTTTGCCTCCCTGAAAACTGAGATGATGATGACAGCTATAGGGTTGAAAGCCAAACGGTCAGTAGATCTTAGGGTAATTGAACTTCATTTTGCAATAAATGAACTGGAAGCAAATTTGAGTTGAATGCCCAGTGAAGGAGGAGTGTGTAATAGGAGACAGAGATTAAGACGAGGTAATTTTCCACTGTGACTTGCAAAAGTATTGGCATACAGGATTATTGCCTCCTTAGCAAGTTTCAACTGGTATGCCATGACTGAAAGAAAGAGATTGCTGTAGGGAGCATGGATTATTTACTAAGATGTGACTTCAGAGTTAACTTTTTTAATAGAAAAAAATACTTTGAAACAAATGATCAAATATTACAGATATAGTGAGAATGAAATACAAAAGCTGTGATTGATTGCGTTGGATTAGGTCAGCGTTGAGAACCAATTTCTCTTGTGAAGAAAATCATATAGATATCCTCTCCTGTCATTAGTAACTTCCCCAATGCATGTAACATGATGCCATTCATTATCCTTCCAGAGATGATGAGACCCGGTGAGAAAGAGGTTTGGTTAAG